AAGAACAGTTCAGTGACGACGAAACACCCAAGTCTAAAGGCCGTCAACCAAAGTCCGGTCAATCAAAATCGGTTTCGTCTAGGAGACAACATAACCGTCGAGATCAAGCAGATGTGGTAGACGAGGAGGCTTTCCAAGACTTCGATTATCGCGTCTACAACCAGGGAGAATGGACCACGGAGCGCATACAGGAGCTTGAAACAGCATACTGGAAGAGCTTGAATTTTAGTAATCCGTTGTACGGTGCCGATATGCCAGGATCTCTTTTCGACGACTCAACCAAGGAGTGGAATGTCGCAAAGCTTGAAAACCTTTTGGACGTTCTGGGTCAATCGGTGCCCGGTGTTAACACGGCGTACCTTTACCTGGGTATGTGGAAGGCTTCTTTTGCTTGGCATTTGGAAGATGTGGATCTCTACAGTATCAACTACATTCATTTTGGGGCTCCAAAGCAGTGGTACAGTATCTCACAAGCAGATGCGCGGAAGTTTGAAACAACCATGCGATCAATCTGGCCAAACGATGCAAAGAACTGCGATCAGTTCCTCCGCCACAAGACCTACCTCATTTCGCCTCAACTTCTCGAATCGCAGCACAAGATCAAGGTCAACCGCCTTGTCCACAACGAAGGAGAGTTCGTCATCACTTTCCCGTATGGCTATCATTCGGGCTACAATCTCGGCTACAATTGCGCTGAATCTGTCAATTTTGCTACTGAGGCTTGGTTGGATTACGGCAAAGTCGCTAGAAAGTGCAATTGTGAAGCTGACAGTGTCTGGGTTGATGTTCGAGATATCGAGCGAAAGCTTCGTGGTGAGCCCACCCCCGAGTACTACGAAGAGACTGAAGACGAGGAAGACGACGAGGATGATGAGCCTACTGATCTGCCTACACCTCCGAGCAGCGACAAGGGCAAACCTAAACGAAGTCACAAGAGAAAGAGGGACGCCAACGAGAAAGACACCAAGCCAAAGATCAAGAAGTTACGAATTAAGATGAAAGCGCCGGCATATGAGCCTTGCATACTGTGTCCGAACGATAACTCTTATGAAGAGCTGCTGCCGACTGACAATGGCCACAAAGCTCATCGGCGTTGTGGTCTTTATACTCCCGAGACCTACATATCCGAGGAAGGAGGGTGTGAAAAGATCTGCGATGTCGCTCACATTGATAAAGCTCGCTTGGAACTGAAATGCAACCACTGTCGCAGCAAAAAGGGGGCTGTCTTCCAGTGCTCCCAGAAGAAGTGTGTTCGAGCGTTTCACGCAACGTGCGCAGCTCAAGCCGGAGTGCTCGTCGACATCGGTCTCGTGCCAGTGTACGGAGAGGACGGGACCGAGTACACGGACACTGGGATTGACTTCCGATGTCGCATCCACCGAGGCAGAAGAGGGAAGAATGTTGAAGGTGCTCATCTTGAGGAGAATACTTTGATAAGGAAGACTGCACTCAAGCTTCCCGTTGGAGAAGTGGTCCAGATGCAGTATCTTCACGGAGACATCTTCGCTGGTGTTGTCTTGGAAAATCGGAAAAGCGAGCAGACGCTGCTAATCCACGTTCTGCCAAGGGGGTAAGTCCTTGACAAGTGTATCTTAGAGTTCCCTCGCTAACGAAAAGTCCTACAGGGACAAGATCGAGGTCGAATACAAGTGGCTGCTTGTCTTTGATCCCATCAACTCTCAGCTGCCAATGCCTTCTGAAAATGCCAAGCCTCTGCCCGCTGAGCTGGCCCGCAAATCTCGAACTACTGCCGAAGATCCTGCGAACAACGACGATCCTAAACCAAACGATCCTTTCGGTGACCCTGATAGCAATTTCCGCTGGGAGGAGTTCGACTCTTGCAAAGCCTTCCGGAACCCGGCTCAGGTAAAGATCGACATTGACAAGCCGAGCAAGCTGTGGTACTATCTTGGCAAATCATCTACTGAAGCAAAAGCCCATTACACTGCACATTTAGCCATCCAGCAGAACGACCCGACTGCGAATTTCCTGGAGAGCGTCAGGATTGCCTCAGTAGCCGCTGCAGCTGCGAAGCCACCTGCCCAACGAGTACCTTACTCAGCTTCGTACCCATCTGGTATCAATCATCAAAATGCCCTAAACGCTCCCCGTACTGGCGCCAACGTCCATGTGCCACAGGTCAAGCCACAGCCCAAGGCCGCGGCAACCCAGTATACGAAGCCAGCAGCTACCAAGGAACGGCCATACCACGGCAAATATGCTATCACGGATCCAATAGCTGCTCAGTACAAGCCTAAACCCGGTGTCAATGTCGACGCGCAAGCATTGTACAACCAGCGTGCATTCCAAAACGCAGCGGCTTCCCAGCTTCCGCAACAGTACCACAGCCATCAAAATCCTGGCTATCGAGCTCCACAAGCATCCATGGGAGCTGCAGCTCCTACAGCACCCATGATGTCTGGACAGCCCCAAGCGCCTCAAGATCCCAGGAGTCGAATTAAGTACAATTATAACTACAACGTGAGGCTCTTCAAACATGTTCTCTCCATGTGACGTCCACTGACAATATTCAGCGAACTCCTATGCCGTACCAGCAAGCCCAGGCTCGGCCGCAGTATTCTCAAGAGCAGCACAGTCAGCCGCTGCATACGCCTCAGCCTGCACCATACTCTCGGCCTCAAGCTCCCGTTGCCAACATGATGGGCGTCCCTTTTACGACTAGCACTCCTATTGCTAACCAGCACACCTTCAGTAGACCGTCATCGGCTCAGCGACGCCCATCATCAGTATCCAGTGCCCCAGAAAAATCTATCGTATTGACAGCGCTAGTACCAGAGACGAAGAAAATTTCTCGCATTAATGTCTCAGAGAGGTATACTTATCTTCACGATGCGGAGAAGGCTCGTCCCCAAGTTTATCAGTCACCATACGCTCTTGGAGGGGGCTTCAGTTCTGCTTATCTACCAGCTCCGGCCGCTGCACCCAAGACCCGACCAAGAGGCCCTAGTATCAGTGAAGAGTACCTCATGACGCGTACACCAAGCCAGCAAGAGCAAATCAGCCAGAACTCCATGGAAGCTAAGGTCAAGGCCCAACAATACCAGCATCAACAGCAATTGCAGCGTGGCCAGAGCATAAGCCAAATCCAGACACAAGGCCAAAGTCATAGTCGCAGCAACAGTATCAAACAAGAATATCAACAGCCTCAGCACGTACAGATGTCAGCTATTCAGCAACCTCAGCCATCTTACCACCACCCTTCGCCCCAAGCGTACCGCAATTTTCATACGAACCCCCAATCCTACCAGCAATACAACCATTACTCACCCTCCTATGCTGCCAGCTCACTTCATCATCAGCCACAACCTCATCAGTATCATCAGTCCGATCATCAGCCTTATCATCATCATCAATCTCCGAATTATCCGACCCACTACCAACAGCCACAGACGTATCAAGCGAACCACAGTCAGCAACAAGCGCAGTATCAATCCCCACAAGACTTCCAACTGCAACTCCAACGCGAAGCCCAGCATTCTCCGCAAGGCGGATGGTTGGACCAATTCTCACGCGGCCTCCAGAACGCAGCTAACCACGGCGGTAGCCAAGGAGTACCCGTATACAGCGGCGCAAGTAGCTATGGCGGCATAGGCTATAGCAGTGGTGAAGGTGGCCAAGGCAGTCCGCTGAAGTACGAAATGGGCGGAGCTGGCACGGAAATGCTGCCTATGATGCGAGAGGGAGGGAGGTACTGAATCAATTCAAATACGGAGTTCGGAAGGTAATGGATTTTACTGAAGGCGTGTGTCAGCATCTCAGCCGGAATCATGTGGAAGGACGAGATGACTTCGTGCTTCATTGTACATTCTTTCATGGTATGTGTGCATGTGGAATCGGTGCTCCAAGGGCAACAAGGGACGGATGATCACGGACGTTGCTTCATGCATATGGCTACCCTTTTTATGCAGCGAAGAGACCAAGGGATGGGGTTGTATTTACGTGTGGTACTTTACGTACAGACGAGGACTTTGTACTCTACGTCTCGCTTGTAGATAAAGGGTCAAAGCGATTAATTTCGCTAAAACTGTGTTATGAAATGGTGACTGCTCGACTAAGTCTGATCTGATTGGACCAAGGGCCGTAAGTTTCAGGTCGTGATTGCAGCAGGTCATACTTTCTTCCTGGTCTACTGCCTATGTGGATTGAGATCAACTTCGTAGAATTTCCAAAAGCTTCGGCATGTTTCCTTCAAGCAAAACAGGCCAATGGCTCAGTGGTAGCGATGATCTGCTCAGTAGCCTCTACACCTGAGTTATCTGTGCATTCTGGAATGTCACGTTCTTAAAACCAAACCCACGATTCCAAAGAGCGGAGTTATTGGAATCTCGAGTGCTGTACAACTATTGCTCTGGTCAGACTGTTCTTCGAGGTCCAAGTAGCTGCGAGAATGTATGTAGCTGTTGTTTAGGTTGCTCTTCTTATTCCTTGGTATACAAGCAAAGCTCGTGGTCATATCAGAGCTTACCGTATTTTGGAAACATGGGCGATCCACAGAAGATAGCCGTACGGAGAGCATCACTTCTCTTTCGAAGAGCTCGAAGAGGAAGCGAAGGAACTGGTGGCGGCAGACAAGGGACAGGAAGCAGGTATGACAGCGACTCGAAGCATGACAGCAGTGAAAGAGACATGTCCGTGGAAAGATTGATGGAAGTAGTTTACAAAAAGTAGATATCGCAATGTAGCCTACTGTGGGATACCGTCAATGACCGTCCATGAGTCAGCCGGAAGAAATCGTCGAAACAGCCGTGTACAATAACCGCATGCTTATGGAAAATGATATTTGGACTGGTATAAGTGATCCAGTGGCCGAGCATGATCGCATTCTCCGCTGTTCTCGTAAAGTTTCCAAGTTATATCTCCATTTTTCAAGTTGATGGAGCCCGAAGTGGGCTTGAGGCCCTTGACTTCCACTGCACATCTAAGCAGTCTGTTGGTCAACCGTCAGGCGACTCAAAGCGGGTCCTATTCAATGGGAAGCCTTACTCCCAGGCTTGGTCATTGATAGTCAATCGGGTCATGCCAGCAGGATTGGTCGTGAGTGAATCCTGCCCGTAAGCTAGCAATATGACCTTGATTCTCGAAGACAGGGCGCCTAAGACCACTGACTCATCTACTCGCTCTGCAATGTAAGAAACTTGCCTTATGCTTCTCTTCTCGAATTCATTGAAATCTCTATTCTCAAAATCTATCCATGGGGAATCTTGTCGCTACCACGGATGTCCATCTTCGACATGGATCGTCATGGACTCACGGAAACCTCTTGTGGGTACTCTAAAACGGCACAACTCGAGAAAGATAGCTGCGTCTAGCATTTGAATTTCATAAGGCTCTTCTGCATAGTCGATCAGCCTTCTTCAATCACATCAAAGTCACATTGCATGCCCACCTCGCTTGCTTCCCGGATACTGTCTGCAGTGATTCTCCTCCGATTTCTGTTCTTGATATGCATCGATGCTTCTTGAATCAAACTATAGAATACAAGATTTATTAATACTGCGGCGTTGAACGAAGTAAAGGTGGGAAAGTAGGGCATGGACTCACTCTTGTACGAAGAGGGTGTAGTCTAGAAATATCTGCCTTTTTCATCATTGACATATCCTCAGACGAAGCATGTTTCATACCATGATGCGTGACTTACCAGGACGTCAGCGTTCTTGCTGAGACTGCGATTCGAATGGGCTTTGACGATCTTCTTGATTGTGGATCGAGGGTAAAGTCTTTTAGATGCCATGGTAGGCCTCGTGGGCCTCGTTGATCTCGTTGAGCTAGCTGGAATGTATCGGGGGTAGAGTTCTGTTGTGGTTGTGCTTTTGTTTACATTTGAGTCTTTGACCATACATTCTTAAGGGAAAGTTTGCCGACGCGAGCCGCCGCGATACTGTAAGATTAAGGGCAACTGCTATCAGATTTCCCCGCAGACTAGCATGACTCTATCCCCATGACAGACCTTCTTCATACGATCCCAGACTTTCCGACAAAGCTGTATACCCATCTTCTGCCATCGTTGGAGAAACATCTAATCACCACAACCGACCTTCTCACCCTCGATGCTTTGGAGGTAGCAAAACGGGCACATTTACCCCTCCTTGATGTGAGGAGACTGGCCAGTCATGTCGTTGCCATCTTACAATGTCGATTGGGGTTGAAGACAGACAATGCGCCTTCGTATCAGAACGCCGGAGAAGGCCAAGCGGGTTATGGCTCGTTGAGGAAGACGGGAAAGGAAGCGACTACCCGATTGAGCCTTATCAGCACTCTTGACCCTTCCATAGATGAAGCATTGGGCGGTGGTATACCAACAAGTTGCATCACTGAGATCACGGGAGAAAGGTATGACCTCTGATCTTCAACCTTGCTTCACAACAAAGGCTAAGACTTGATAGTGGTGCTGGCAAAACGCAACTCCTCCTCACTCTTCTTCTTTCCGCCCAACTTCCTCCACCTGATGGTCTCTCACGTCCAACCCTCTACATCTCAACCGAGCACCCTCTTCCGACAGTTCGCCTTGCTCAGATCCTCAAGAACCATCCAGTACTCTCCTCGCATCCAAGCCCACCCTCTCTCAATCGTATCCTCACTCTAAACACCCCGGATCTTGAATCCCAAGACCACATCCTGACCTACCAACTCCCAGTCGCACTCGCCCGTCATAGTGTCGGCTTGGTGATCCTCGACAGCATAGCAGCGAACTACCGCGCAGAGCGTAGCTCCGCCAATACGCCTTTCGCGCTCGCCACACGCTCTGCACAGCTTGTACGGCTAGGCGCTCTCCTGCGATCCCTTTCCCGCGAACACAATTGCGCAGTGGTGGTAGCAAATCAAGTCGCCGATCGGTTCGCCCCCGTCTCCACGACTTCTCGTGCATCGGCGTCGATATCCGTAGGAAATGTCTTTTCATCCTCTCCAGCGTCAACGGCTACGACCTCCGCCCCTGCACCATCAGTATTAAGTCTTGACCACCAACAACGCTTCTTTACCGGTTGGGGCGCGGAACCCTCGACTCCGTCCCACAATCTCAAGACGCCCACTCTAGGCCTCGTGTGGGCGAACCAGATCACTTGCCGAATTGCGCTAGTCAAGGAGCGGGATTATGGCAGCGCAGGAACTGGGGAGGGCGAAGTAGCCGTTGACGACATTGGAGGCGCAGAATGGAACTCGAGGCGTTGGAGAAGGTGGATGCGAGTTGTGTTTGCGCCATGGGTAAAAGGCACTGGGGAAAGGGAGAGGGGAGTGGAGTTTGAGATTTGGAGTGGGGGCGCAAGAGTTGTCAACAAAGCCGCTGCACAATCTCAAAAAGCAATGTAGATGCTGGAACTGTACCTACAAATGATCCTGATATTGTTAGCCACTTGGTTTTGGATGGCTCAAATTTGAAATGAAGAGGCACATTTTGCGAGAGGGGATCGTGATTCGAGATGGCTAAGCTCTAAGCAATTAACATCCTATGCCACCAGATGCTAAGACGGCCATATCCTCTTTTTGGCGAAGTAAAAAACCATCATCACGCTGTGCTAGTATTGTTACAATCGATATCCAGTCCGGTCCACCATCCACAAGGACCAGCCTCCCTAAAGCATTTGCATTCTTTCTGTTGTTCCGAATTTCTCGTCTTCATCGCGTATACGCGTAGCCTAGCTTTCGGCAGCAACAGACCCCCTTCCTCTCATGCCACCTCTCCCTCCCCTAGGCGCTCTTCCCCCACGATAGCCTCGTCCACGGCCTCGGGCTCGGACACCACCACGGTAGCCATTGTCCACACTTCCTTGACCGAAGGTCTCAAGATTCTTCTTCTGCTCTTCGCTTCTGAACTCACGGCCTCCAAGGCGCTTCCCGGCTACATCATCTCGGTCTTTGCTCTCGCTGGAGATGTTATCAAAAAATGAGGAGGTCTTGTTGTAGCCAGAAGCAGCTGGGATGACGACACTGTGCTCGCTCTCTCTACGACCACCGTTGATTGAGGCTTCTGCGGGAATGTCGTTGGAGCTGTCGATAGGGCTGCTGATTGGAGATCCGGTAGCGATGGCTTCTTTGACAAGCTCGTGCTTATTGAACTTGGCATTGGCCTCAGCAAAGTCGTAGTCCGTCTTAGGCACCTCCATCTTCTTCGTGGGTTGCTCCTCACGCTGACGTCCGCCACGGTAGCCGCCTCGTCCACCGCGATGACCAGTGGCGTATCCCCCAGTGCCAGGCTGTCTAGAAGTACGTATATTATCATTAGTCCTCATCTCATTGACCTTGTTCGTCAAATTATCGATTGCGCTCTCTCCATTGGTTTGTTTCTGTTGTCCGGGGGCGGGAGGTAGCTTGGCCATGGCGGCTGCCACCGCAGCTCTGGCGTTGCGATTTGCATCTTCGAGCGATTTTGTGGGGACCTGGGTTGGACGCGGTGCGGCCAATTTCGCAGGAATCTGGCTTGTCCCAGGAAGGTTGGTCGAACTTGATTGCAGAGCACCATTGGCGGGGGCTCTAAGCTTAACGGCAGGACTCAGGATTGGAACGGCTGGCATAATACGACCACTCTTGGGCGCACTAGTTGCTGGTTTGGCCGCAGCAGGAACCTCAGCTGCGACTGTGGGCGCTGGCGGAGCCAAAGCCTCGTAAACATTAGGCTTTGATTCTGTTGGGGGAGGTGGGCCGTTCTGAGCTGCCGCCGCAGGGGCAGGTGTCGTGCTCGAGCTAGGCAATTTAACAGTTGCTGTTGGCTTTTCGACTGGCAACTCTTGCTGCGGGGTAGCTTTCGGTGCATTGCTTGTCAATGGTTCCGCGGGAGTAGATGGCTTCGATTGTATGCCTTGCTGGATGGGCGGCTGCCCTGGCGCTCCGAACGGCATGGGTGGTGGATAGAATTGGCCAGGTGGTGGATGTGAGAAACCCTGGCCCGGCGGAGGAAACCAACCCGGTGGCGGAGAGCCGTATGGTATTGGAGGGTAACCATGAGGCGGGAAGCCTTGCGGACCTCCTGGGCCAAAACGCTGGTTGGGTGGGGGAGGGTAGTATTGGGGAAAGTATTGTTGCTGTTGAAACCTCAGTGGACCTTGCTGTTGAGGTGGTTGTTGCTGAAACCGCTGCTGCTGTTGCTGTTGATTTTGCTGGTCCTCTTGAGGAGGTTCGGAGAGAGGTTGCTGCTGCTGGTTCTGAGCTTGCGGCATCGACGCAGGAGTGCCGATTGGGCGAGCGTTCTGCATGTAAACTGTTATCAGCGCCCGAGGGAATCTTTGTCTCGTTTAAGAGCAAGGACTGGATCCTATGTATATCAGAAGGAAGGCAACGGAATTTTCCACACGATTTTGCGCTCTCGGTGATATAATTTGTGATTTACATCCGAAATACTTCATCACGTAACAGGCAGACATGGCATGCACTCAGCACACGACGCGACCAGAACAATGGACTCACCCCAAGTATAGCTGGATCATCAGGCACCTGAGGTTGTGCAGGCTTTTCTGGCTCTTTCTCAATCCTCAGATCCTTGACATCGCTACCCCGAAAGACAATGTATTCATAAACGTAATCCGACGTTGCGACTTCATCCTCAGGATTTCGGCCCTCAGTGCCGAATGATTTGACATGCTCAAGTGCGACGGTGGAATTCTCGGAGCTGATTTCATGGAGGGTGCCCACATAGCTGGTAACGCGTTAGCTATGATGCCGTTCTGGTACTGTTCTGCATAGGTGTGAGACATACCGAATGTCCCTTTTTGAGATGAGGGAAATGCGAGAGCTGTGCAGACTTTGTCAGCTCGAGCTCATCCTGAGCCTGATATCGATGTAGCCTTACCCAATATATTCGGCCATTGTGAGGTGGAGCGCTCAGAGCGCCAGTACGACAATGGGTGTGTGTGACTGCGTGACGGTTGTTTTGAAGGAGAAAGATCCGTAGAGAGGTAAACGTGAGAGGTGGAAGAGGTGTGACGGTGGTTCTGTTGAAGTTCGCGAGTGATTTCCAGCACAGTTTAGCTTGGTACATGTCAGCCCTATCGTGCAGCCTTGGTATAAAACTTCCAGTAGTTGGACACACGCACTGAAGATGTTGCCCACCGGTTTCGACGATGGCTACACAGCACTCGAATGTCGCTCTGATACCTCAGGAACAATATGTGGCGACATTCCAACAGCTTGAGGATTACGCCTGGGACTCGGATCCAGAATTCCAAGGTGGTCTACAAGCAATACTCGGGTCAAATTCTTCCACAGAACAAGCTGAGCACCTGACTCTGCGTGCCAGGTGCTTCTACTTTGCTCGGTAGGGTATTCTGTATGCAAGTATCGGTGCCTCTGAAAGCTGAGGCTTCGTTTCATTTAGCAAAAACAACATTCCCATCGACTTCAACGCCTACCATACATGGCGGTCTCAGCAGTCTTCCTCTCTTGCCAATGGCATGTCAGTCATAGCCTCGGCGTCTGACCCTTTCATCATGAACAACATTCCCCCGAGACCTGAATCAACCTCTCGCAATTTCACAGACACCAGCCCAGGAGACGTAGAGCCGCCCGCACCATATCCGACATCCTTCAGCCAATTAGTCGAGCTAATCACAAGTGGGGAGCTAATACCAGGTATCAAGGAAGTTCCGAATACTGTACTAGAAGGGCAAGCTTCTCAACCAACGACGGCCAAGCGGAAAAAACCATGGGAAAAGGACGATGCTAGTACCGGCGAGGAGGTTGTTGGAACAAACAATTCACTCACGAACATTGCATAGATTGGCCCCCAGAACTCTGGTCAGGATCGCTCACAACGTCTTCGCGAGTCTTGCACAATGAATGGAAGAAGGAAACTATGACAAGTCTATTGTAAATCTGCTGATTCTCGAATGGGCACGAAGCCGAGTAAAAGTACACGTAAAAGATGATCCGCTCCTCATCTGATCACACGTTGAGGAAGCTGCTGCTCTGACAGAACCACCAGCACAGTAATCGAGATACAAAAAGAAGTAGCTGCTAAGAATTGAAAGCTGTCCGCACATGAGCCTCGCTTTGCTGCAACGTGCAAGCTGTGCCATTATTTGTCCTCTCTCGTCTCCATTAAGGTAATGTCCCTCGTAACTTTTCCAAAGACTCCGGGTCCGAGGTGCCGTGGCTGTCGACATAACGCAAGAGTCTTGCCTGCCTAGAATGGAATATGATGACTAGAATGTGGTAAATTGGAAACGAAAGTGGTTTGAAGACTGGAAGACGAAGTCGTACCAAGGTCGAAAGCTTAGGTTGGAGCAAGTGTCTGGCCTCCAACCTATCGGAGCAACGATAAAGTAATCTCGAAGGTCCCAGAGACTGTGAAGGAAGGAAGCCAAGGGTGTACCAGATTTCGGGAGCCAGAAGCGGTGCGCGGCTTTGATCTTCAACGGTAAGCTCCGCCAAAGCGGGGAATACTGCTCGGAGCACTCGAGAATCGATTGGTTGGAAGCCCAGCCCCAGGGCCAGGATGAGTTGTATAGGCAGGATTGCAACAGAGCATGCCAACACGAGATCCGAACTTGGAGCCACGTAGGGAGACCATGTGTTTGCTGTAGAGTATTAGCAATCATCGCAAACTGCTGAGACGTAACTCACCGGATGTGAGAAGCCACAATGTCACGATGGTTTGGGTTCGCATGGGTGAGGATGTATTGAATGAGATAATTTCCGTACTGATCGCTTGCGACTTGAAACGAGATCAGCAGCGCCGTGATGGGATTCTCCAGACGACTTACTATCGATCAAGGGAATACGAGGACGATCCGCCCGGCCTTCACAGACACGCTCGAGATAGCGCTCAAGGAAATCTACGCCACCAATCTTGAGACACTTCTCGACGACCTTGGAGGCGAATTGGTCCATGCTGTACTCGGTTGCGTATCGGAGAACATGGTCGATGGCACGGCTACGGTCAGCTGGTAGGCCGTGCTCACAGATATGCTGGATGCACCAATTGCCGAATTGCCCATGCGCAACAATGTCGATGCTGCTTAGGACCTCGTTGATGCAAGGACGCTTTTTGGATGTACACTGATCAGCTTCGTGACGCATACGGGTGAAGACGGGTTGAGGTTAGATCTAATGTCTCCAAAGTGATGAACGTACCTTATCCTCTTCTAGGCAATTCTCGAAGATATTCTGCACAACCAGACTACCAGTCTCCCCCAAGGCTACTTCATGCCACATGCCACACAAAGCTTCGTTGACGTACTTCATAATTTGTGGTGGTGAGTCACTCCAGCGCAGCTCGAACAGCTTTTGCCAGACGTGACAAGCATAGCGATGGATGACTGTCTCTGGGATACGGCGAAGTAATTCATGAACCATGATAGCCTTATACTCTTCGGGTACAGCATCAAATGCCTTTTGAACGACGTGACAGCCAAATGCATCCATGCTGAGGCTCAAAGTGTTCCCACGGATGGCGTTTGCAATAGCAATGACCTGCTCTGGAGTCCCATGCTCGAAGCAACGCTGGACGAGGAAGTTCCCGAAGCGGTTGACCATCAACGGATAAGCTTGTGCGACAATAGCTTCAATGATCTCGTACTTCTGCTCCACTGTGCCAACTTTGAGCTTCTGCTGTAGGAAGATCGAGGCTTGCTGATCATTGTTGCAAACGATCTTGTCGACTATGTACTTCCAGTTGCAAGTCACGCTACGGTCGAGGAGGCGACGGTAATTGAGAGGCTCCATAGGTGAGACGTATGTTTGTCCAGGAGAAGCGGGAGGCTGTAAAGCTATCAGTATCTATCTGCAGATTTGCAATTCGGTATGACTCACAGCAGAGTTCCAAGGGTTAGCCGAAGCTTGGCCAGCCCTAAACTCAGCTGCCGTGGGGGAGAGAGGCGTGCCAATTGGCCGTGGCTGGTAAGCTGATGGATACATATTCAAGGACTGGTATGTAGAGCTAGGGCTCATGCTACCAAGGTTCATACCATCCATGGGACCAGGGCCACCTGTGTATACGTCCCATCCATTGCCACGCTGGTATGATGGAGCGTTGCGATTGTCCCGAGGATTCATCTGGCCGTAGCTTCGAGCTTGATTGAATTGACCGAAGTCATTCATCCCACGTCCACCTCCGCCTGACACTGGTGAGACCGGCACAGAATAGTTGCGTTGCTGCATTGGTGTTTGCTGAGATACCAATACTGGTGGAGGCAACGCGTTGCCCATCGCTCGCTGGCCCCACGAACGAGGTCCCGGCTGGCCCCAGCCTGAGTCTGGTTGTAGTGCGGCATTGAAGCTGGGCCGAGAAGGATTGGACCAGGCATTTGCTACAGCATTGAATGGACCGACCACATCAGACCCATCAGAACGGGCATCCTCATGACCCCAGTGTCCCTGGACTGTGCCGAGAGGGCGGTTGGAAGTCATAAACGCATTGGTCGGATCAGTAACATCGGTCCTAGGGCTGAGTGCAACTTCGGAGGGTGGTCCCATTGCTTGGTCGAAGGTGTGCTTGATCACGCGGGTCTGATCAAGCTCGTGCTTTTGGCGTGCAATTTGATCTTTGGCGTCATCGAGTTCTTTCTTGAGGCGTGCCATCTCCGATGCCTCGATGCGTAACTTGTCATCTTCGTCATTGGCGGTATTGGCGGTATTGGTGTAGCTGAAAGATTCTGAAGCTGGAGTCAACAGGGCCGAGCTGGCAGTGGATCCTTCTTTTGTATGGCTCTCGATGTCTCCTTTGGTCGGCAGACTTGTCTTCTGCTTCGCAAGTAGAGCCTGTTGCTCTGAAAGCTTCGCAAGTAAGGAGTCCATGGAGCCCGGCTGCATCTCATCATGGAGAGCGGCGGCAGAGTGCTCGACTTTCATCTTCTATTCTGTCATGAGCAAAAGTGGAGGATGATGGGTGAAGTTCTTGGGTGAGGGTAGAGATAGTGATTGCGGACGTACCTTGGAACCACTAGAAGGACCTGGAGTGGGCTGTAAGTTCCCAAGCTTCGAGGTTGATAAGGGCATTGGACCTTCATTGGTGGTGATACCGTGCTTGCTGACACCTTGCTTCGACGTCTACTGCCGGATCAGTATGCGAGCTCGGAAACGAGAGGCTGGTTTCTAACCGAGCTTGCTTGACGCGAAGACATCGAGTTGTCTTGATGGTCCATCTCATCGTGGACGGCAAATTGTGTTGTTGAAACACGTCCGCGTGCAGCAGGGGAGCCGTTTGAAGGGAGCCCAGCCATGGTGAGCGAAAAGATTGTGGGCTTACTACCTTTGTGCTTCAATGTGATGTTGGGACGTGTAAAGTATGCGTAGATAGATGGTATGGGTACACACCGATCAAATGCTCGACACAATGGGACCGACCCACGTAGAAGGGGTTTTTGAGGCTCTGGGATGTCCAAAACTTTGAAGGATGGTGACGGATAGATGGTAGCGGTAGCAAAGATGATGGAGCTTTGAAGGGAAGTGAAGGGACGAGATGCTCAGTAAATTCGAGGGATGTTACCTAGATGGTAGTGGAGTTGATTTTGGAAGGAGCGTGTTGATATTTCAGATTAAGAACATGGTCAAGGATATGTTCCTGCTTTAGTTGAAAGGAGGAAGGAAGGTGCAAGATGTAAATGTTGACGAGCGTGTAGATTACTTGTAAGCAGAAAAGGAACTTTCAACTCGCGTAATTCCGGCGCTAAGGTGTAATTGCCGCCAAGGTTCCTTTTTGATGTCAACACAGACTGCCATCTCTACGATTTCGGGTGTCCTTCCGCGGGCAGATTAAGCTGACAATCTTTCTCGGTCTAAAGAGCCTCACAGCTCTGGCCAACAAGACCATCTGAGCATTCATCAAGCCAGCTATTTCAACTGATGAACGAAGCGTCTGACACTCTCCAGAAGTTGTCAAACGATCCCATAGCAAGTACGCCTGCAGCGCCTTCCCATGCACATCTTCTGCCGATGACAACAAAATCTGGCTGGCCTACGCCCGTCAACATCGGCATCAGGCGAGCGGCTCGCCTGAGCCCCTGCTTATCGAAGCCCCAAACGACGAGTTCAAGTCTCTCATCCAGCAATGGCCTGAGGAAGATGGCTCCCATACCGACCTCGAAAGGAAAGACTTTCTTTATGCCTCCACGTCTGCGAATATAAAGTCCCACGCTGTCGTCTAAGCCAATGGATTCCGAGTGAGACCCTAGCATTAGGGAGTCGGATCCTAGTGTTACGCTTATCACATTGCCTGATTGCGAGCCTACAGCAGCACTTAGATCCATGATCTCGGAGTCGGCAGCAAAGTACTGAAAGAGGTTTCGAGCAATCTGCACTGCTACATCAGAGACAGACGCGGATGTCCGTATTAGAAATCGCCCAGCACTGCGAAGAATCGAGTCAAGCGGTCCCAGTTGCGCGCCGTGACGTTGCTCTGTGAGCCATTGACGATCATGAGACACCTGAGAAAGTAAGCTTCCGGGTCGAATGGTTCATTGGCACACTTCTTACATGCCAAAAGCCTTGTTCAGACCGAACGAGCCAGCAGGCAAATTTCTTCTCTCCAAGCGGCAGCTCCAGTGAGCTTTGGTCAATGACTAGCTTATGAGGCAGGATGTCTGACTTTTGAGTGGCGGTAAAATGAAATCGAAGAACGTTAGAAGTCCTCAGAACCCAGGCTGCTGAGAGTGGACATCTTTTCACCTCGATCCTCCCAAGTTGGTCTGGACTACTCAATTGGTCTACCAAGAGACCGCCCCTTGCGCCCATGTCAGCAGGATTGGCAATCATGATAGTGAAGTCTTGGGGCAGCTTCGCCCAATCCGCTTCACGCCCAAGAATGTCATAGAATCTGAGAAGTGGTACGGTGGTCATAACACCATCAAACCAATGACTCTTGCCCTTCAGCTCTACATATTGGTGATTGTATTTCCCGTTCGTCTGAGAGATCAGCTGATTCATACGCCGAGAATGAAACGCAGGGACGTTATTGTCGGCGCTACCGTGCTGTTGCATGATGGGTATGCCCTTAAAATTGGCTACAAGAAGCTCATGGCGAAAGCTTCGCGTCGAATTCTGCAGTAACATTGTGATTTCAGGACTTGCTTCCGCCCACATCTGATATGGCACATAACCTAGGATATCATATTGTGAGGCCTCCGCCTTACGCATTTGGACGGGAAATTTAACTGACCTTCTATCGATGAGTAGCCTGAAACTGAAGCAGCCCCAATGACTTTCTCCGGTCGATGAGTGAGTGCGTACCATGTTCCTTGACCTGAGATATTTTATAACCCTGCTTCTCGCCCCGAGATTCGGTACTCACCACCGTTCGAATGTCCAGTGACCAGCCATCCACTGGCATCCACCGAAGGCCCGTCCCACCCGACAGTCTCGATCCAACCGGAAATTGCTGCTACTGCTGCTTCCACGTCCGCGAATCCCCATGTATCTGGCCAATGTCAGTACAACACCCCACTGCTCGAAGACCCTGAAGACTTACGCCAATCATCACCACTCCACCTGCACATTTCGGAGTCAGCATGGCTTCTTTGAGACAGAAAAGTTAGGTTACAAGACAATGAGGGGGGCTGAAACTGGCCTTCTGCTCACGAGATGTGTCTTGCGGCTTGAAACTAAGGGTTTAATTAGGAAGGGTTCGCTCCGAAATGTGCACTTACGGAGTTACTCCGGTGGGAAATATAACCCATGAGGGAAGATCAGGGACCGAATCAAGCATATGGCGCACTTGATGGCTATCTGCTTCCAGTCCGGCTCCATGAAGGTTGAGAAGGATCGGCAAGCGTTTGTTTGGAGACAACCCAGATATTGCTTTCTTTGAAGGGGCTCTAAGAATAGCGTATGAGACAATACCGCCAGGGTGAAGGAACGTGATCTTGTGCGGGGAGTGGCTATCATGCTCCGAGAATGCAGTTGAAATTACAGTGCTAAGGAGACAATCAGGAGAGTCACTTTCGACGTAGGTGACTTCAAGAGAAAGATATATAGGCGGATTGCTCTGCGCAGACAGACGAAATGTCAGTGGCCTTGTTTGGCCTGGTGCTAAGCTCAATGGTGAAATTCCAATCATGGCAGCACTAACGGTTCCCTCGAGATGCCATCAGCAATATTGGAGACTTCCGACAGTGAGTGGACATACCGCGCTAGTCGTAATGTCCAAGATGTCAATAGTTTTTCGTCCTTCGTTACGAGCAGGCACGAAAGCAAAAGGGCTTGCTAAGACTCCATTGACGATAGCAGGAATCATAGCCTTTTGCTCAACTATCGCCAGGCTGCCCTCGGAGCTTTCCGCTCTCAACTTGATCGATATCTTCGGCTCTCCAATACCGCCCATAACACGAACGTCGCGGATCAATCGTATGTCGACATTATGTTTGCCCGGATTTAAGTGAAGGACTAACGGTGCTCTGCGGTATGCGTAAAAGTCTCCACCGAAATAGTGACTGTCATCAATCCAGAATTCAAGAACATTGTCAGCATAGAATATAATGGGTTGTGCAGACTTTGCTGCTATCGTGAGACGCCCTCGAGCCCAGGCTTGATACTGCAAAGCAGCCCAGCCATACACGGATTGCAGGAATGGCCAATCGATAGTGGGAAAGCCGACGATCAAGGAAGCTTCAGCAACATCTCCAGAACTTGATGAGCATTCCAGTTGGTGGGTTGACCAAGATACTCGGCCACTGGGAGCAAGCGAGCTGGGATAATTCGTTTCATTGTCATAAGCGAGGGCGCGAAAGCCTCCCTCAAACTCCAATGGATCTGCACCCCAGCTTGCTTCTGTCATGTGTTAGGGATTGTGACTGGGAGACGCACGGCTCTTGTCACCTCTTGTTCCAATCTGAAAAGGCCCAAGCACGTCCCATTTCAAGGAGAAGCTAATTGAAGGACATTCACCTCCATCTTGCCCGTGTGTGATCAACATTCTTACTTATATCATGTATGGCAATCAAAAGAGGCTTCGACGCCTCTCATCTCTCACATTTTTACCAAATTCATCAGTACAAGGCATACGAGTACAGGAATGTTGCAACAAAACATTATTGGAAGTGGGCTGGGATAGCGGGCGCTCTTGATTTACGTCTTCCGTCTTACATAATACGGCCGTAGCGTAATTCCTCCAATCAATTTTGAATAAATAATTCAGCTTATTCATGAATAGATGATCAGTCAAGCTCGAAGACGCTCATACAGACTCAGGAGCTCTTCTGATCCTTGTCCACTTTCTGACTTGACTTGAACGGTCGAGCTTACACTCGTTTACTAGCGACAAGCTATCGACCTTGCGAATGCGCGTTCACAGAGTTGCGAATCCCTGCAGCAAACCTGCAGCCACCTTTTCGAGCCATAACCATGTACTTGTCAGCTCTAAAAACACCTTTCTATTCACAACTTATCATGCAATAGCAACGCGCGTTTGTATCAATTCAAATGCATACAGAACCATACAACTCATAGGCATAGTCCAGATCTGAGCCGCAATCGTGCATCAGATCGATTCGGACTATGAGCTCTCCGAACGTCGAGCGCCGCCGGTCATCCTCTTCCAATCCCAGGGAAAAGTTCCCAGACTTGGACGCCTCCCAACCCGGTGACTGTCTTCCCGAATACGATGAGAGCGAAACTGGTAGAAATCGATCCGTTAGAACATTAAGCCCCGCAAAAACGAACGGCGTACTACACAGCGAACGGTGGCAGACACGGAAGGATAACCATCTGGCATGGGGAGACGGCCACCTCAACGTTGCGGGTCCTAGAAAACATGGCCGGCATAGGAGTATCGGTGATGCCTTCAGGAACATTCGAACCAGGAAAGCTAGCGTCAGTGAAAATGCACATGAGATTGCGGAGGCATTGAAAGCTCCTATATCTCTTAAGATTTTAGTCGGTGAACCTGTGGCATTGGGACCTGCACCAGCTGACAGATATATCAGGTGCTCTGCCTTATCTGGTACTTGAGCTCGGCCTTGACCAATACTTCCTCCAAGTCCATTCTCAACGCTTTTCCCAAACCGATCACTCTGACTATTATACAATTCGCCTTTGTCTCCGGATGGTGCCTATTCTTCGCATCCCTATCTCGTCTTTTTCCTCCTCTACAGACTGCTATTCCAGCCTTGAAAAACGGCATTCGATACCCTAGTCGGGAAGTAATAACTACTACCATGCCTCTCGCTCTTTTTCAGATCGGTGGACACATCCTATCCTCTACAGCTACGGAGAAGATTCCAGTATCTCTGGTCCATACTATCAAGGGCCTCTCACCGCTCTTCACGGTCCTAGCTTACCGCTTCGTCTTCCACATCCACTACCCTACAGCAACATACCTCTCGCTCATACCTCTGACACTCGGTGTCGTTCTAGCCTGTAGTGTCGAGTTCTCGGGCAACCTTTTTGGCGTTCTCTGCGCTTTCGGCGGGGCCCTCATCTTTGTCACGCAAAACATCTTCTCAAAGAAACTCTTCAACGAGGCCGCCCGCACGGAAGCTGATGGACCCGGTATGGTTGCAGGGCAACGCAAGCTCGACAAGTTGAACCTACTTTGCTACTGTTCCGGCCTCGCCTTCGTCCTCACTTTCCCCATCTGGTTATGGACCGACGCTCTCCCTCTTTATTCCGCACCACTATCCCTCACGCCTCACACTACCCCATCCCCCTCGCCTGCATCTTCAATGTACCTACCCCTCGAATTCTTCTTTAATGGAATATTCCACTTCGCACAAAATATGCTCGCCTTCATCCTCCTCTCCCTCGTGTCTCCGGTCACTTACTCAGTCGCCTCCCTCATCAAACGTGTTTTCGTCATTGTCATAGCCATTGTCTGGTTCGGTAATAGCACAACATCACTACAAGCTGCTGGCATTGCTCTCACTTTTCTTGGATTGTACCTTTACGATCGTACAAGCGACTCGGCAAAGGCGAGCCAAAGGGCTAAGATGGAGTCCTTGAGCATTGACAAGCCCTTGCTACCACTGAGTAATAAGGATGCCATTTTCGACGAGTCACCGATGAGTACATTTTCGAGCAACATGTTTGGAAATGCCAACGGCCATGTCATTGGGGATGATAAGAAAATAGATGCTGCTGGGCCGGGCCGGCCAAGAGCAAGGAGTCAGGCTAGCAATTCGTGGCGACAGCCAGGAACAAGGTAGGAAGAGACCTGGAGATCACGAGATATTTTTATTAATCCGAGCGCTGGGTGAGGAGCTCATGACTTCATGACTAAATGCCGGAGATTTTGATATATATGTGACGCTCAGTGGCAGCTTTACGTTATTGCTAAATAGCTTGCCGGCGTGTGCAATATAAGTGGGCCTAGAGTGTCAGAAAACAAAGCAGATGTGAACAAATTGGTCAAAGTTGTGGCTTAGGGCACTCAACAGTGTGCATCCACAACTCCATGTAATCGCCCCGAGCATCGTAGAGCCTCGCAGGTGCCAGATATGTAACTAATTTGCTTGATCCGTGCCCAATTAACTCATCGAAGCAAATGTCTCAAGTATCTCCAATCGACTTCTGTAGCTACCGTCGGTAAGGAACACAACATCATCAGCCTCCGTCAAGAAAACCTCGTTTGCTCCAGCTACGGCGCCTGTTAGAACTTGCTCTTGGATCAACTAGCAGAGAAGGAACTGGTAGCTCTGAAGTTAAACTCCGCCAGTTCCTCCTACAATAATATGCGTCCTGATGAGTATAATTGGAAAAGAAGACGATCGAGCGCGGGAAGATTTTAATTTGTGGCCGCGCTTGTTGCGGCTACGAGTACGGGAAGCGCGGCATTGCTTCCAGGCTGTTCCAGCCGTTTTCTCCGCTTGGTGCCGGACGCTCGTAAACGATATTGAATTCTACTCCATTGCAATCCGCTCCCGCGTACCTACCGGCAACACCCAATGTTCTCTTTTTGTCCGCACGCTCTAGACGTCCACTACAATTCGCGCCGACATCGTCTTCTACTCTCTTCCTGTCCCCAACACATATACCTTCCTCACATTCTCTTGTCGGTGAAATGCATATTCTTGTGTCGCTGGGAGACGACATAGATTTGGCGCATTGAGGCTTATTGGCGGCTTTGCTAGATGAGGTGACGGGCTAAGGGAACATTGGAGGATGGGCACGGAACGGTGCTAGCCACTGGTGAAAGTCTATTCATCGGGCTAAGGGGGAAGCTATGAGATATTGACGAGATCCAGGCTGGGTGCGGAAGTTGTGAATGTAGGAGTAATGGTCACGTCTAGGATCCTTGAGATATCCGGTATTGGGACTTGGATTTGTCCATACGCTCCCTTCGATGTACGTATGCATTCGGTACCTGAGTCTCGAAGCGACAGTCGGTTTGGATATATGTGATAGTAACCAAATGAACAAGAGCTTTGCTGAGACATCGACAAACGGGTTCTTGTGCCTTTCGCAACTGAAGTAGTCTGGCAAGCCTATTTATTAGAATAAGGAAATGGTGTACTCGCCTCGAAGTTTGTGTGATTTCAATTGCAGTGCTGAATATCCGTACACATCCCGGAAAATAGTACATACGATCAGTCCGGCAGGCTGATTAGACTCAAGTCCTTTCACGATTCTCCCATCTCCCCCCAAAAACAAACACAGACGAAGAAGTTTCTCCCTTCGATTAAGATAGATAGATAACAAATAAAGACACCTAGACCAAGTAACCGAAGTTATCAAAAAGGGTCTGCTAGTTTTATAAGGTCTCTGTTCACTGCTGCAGGATCAAGATGAGATTTTGACTGTGTTTCGGATGTAAGATTGGATTTTCAATTTTTGAAGATCTAGCGCGGCTATTGAGCCAATCAATAAGTTTCTATCCATTGGCAAGCGCTAGGGCTCTCGGAGCCGATGGTGGTGAAGAGGATCATCATTTGTTGCAAATAATTGCCCACCGAGTATAAAGTACAATTGTCCTTTTGCCACGTCCTTTCTTTTGCTCTGTTCCCCAAGATGCTCCGTACGCCATTTACCAGGTCTGCGGCTAGGCTAGGGAGGCATGCAAAATGGCAAGCTGGCGCGAGGAGTTTCAACGCCACATCGAGGAGGAAAGCGGAAGTGCAGCTCACAATTGATGGCAAACAGGTCTCCATAGAAGGTATTGGGTGATAGTAGCCTCATTTACGGCTACGGAACCGCTGACTTGAAGTGCAGCCGGCTCTGCTCTTATACAAGCATGCGAAAAGGCCGGCGTGGTTATACCGCGATACTGTTATCACGAAAAGCTCATGATTGCTGGGAATTGTCGTATGTGTCTAGTGGAAGTTGAAAGAGCACCGAAGCCTGTTGCATCATGCGCCTGGCCTGTACAGCCTGGTATGGTAGTCAAGACGGACTCGCCACTCACACATAAAGCAAGAGAAGGCGTGATGGAGTTTCTGCTCGCAAACCATCCACTGGACTGCCCGATCTGCGATCAAGGAGGCGAATGCGATCTACAGGATCAGTCAATGCGATATGGAGCCGATCGGGGGCGATTCCACGAGATGGGGGGCAAGCGCGCCGTTGAAGACAAGAACATGGGCCCTTTGATCAAGACTTCCATGAACAGGTGTATCCATTGCACGAGATGCATTCGGTTCGCAAATGATGTGGCAGGAGCACCAGAGCTCGGGTCAACGGGCAGAGGTAATGATATGCAGATTGGCACATATCTTGAAACAGCTCTTGATTCGGAGATGTCAGGAAATGTTATCGACTTGTGCCCTGTTGGCGCCTTAACTTCCAAACCATACGCTTTCCGTGCACGGCCGTGGGAGTTGCAGCATTTTGAATCAGTGGACGTGCTTGATGCCTTGGGTTCAAATATCCGAATAGATGCAAGAGGGATGGAAGTCATGAGGATTATCCCCAGGCTCAACGATGACATCAACGAGGAGTGGATCAACGACAAGACTCGATTTGCTTGCGATGGCTTGAAGACACAACGATTGACTACGCCTCTGATGCGGCGGGATGATAAATTCATACCAGCATCATGGGAACAAGTTTTGACCGAGATTGGCAACGCCTACCAGCGCATATCTCCCAAAGAAAACGAGTTCAAGGCCATCACTGGCCATCTCGTCGAAACGGAAACCTTGGTCGCCATGAAAGACCTGGCCAATAAATTAGGATCTGATAATCTTGCCCTCGACCAACCCTTCGGCAGCCAGCCCATCGCCCACGGAATCGACCTCCGCTCCTCCTATACCTTCAACAGTAAGATCTATGGTGTTGAAGAAGCCGATGCCATACTCCTTGTCGGCACCAATCCCCGCCATGAAGCCGCCGGCCTCAATGCCCGCATTCGCAAGCAATGGTTACGTTCCGACCTCGAGATTGGCCTCGTCGGCGAGCCCTTCGAGAGTACCTTCAACTTTGATCACCTTGGCGCTGACGTGTCTGCCCTAAAGAAAGCACTCCAAGGTCCTTGGGGCAAAGTCCTACAGTCTGCTAAACGCCCTATGATCATTGTCGGTTCCTCGGCCGTGGAGCATTCAGACGCAAAAGCCATCTTCGAAACCGTCGGTTCCTTTGTCGATAAGAACGCCGCTAATTTCATCACCTCTGAGTGGCAAGGCTATAACGTACTCCAGCGCGTCGCCTCCCGCGCAGGGGCTTTCGAAGTCGGCTTCACGACGCCCTCTCCCACTGTCGCGAACACGGTACCTAAATTCATATGGCTGCTTGGCGCAGATGAGATTTCTGAATCCGATATTCCCAAGGGCGCATTCGTAGTCTACCAAGGCCACCACGGCGACAGAGGCGCCCAGCTCGCCGACGTTATACTCCCGGGGGCTGCGTACACAGAGAAGCACGGCACATACGTCAACACGGAAGGTCGTGTCCAAATGACCCGAGCCGCCACTTCAATGCCAGGAGCAGCGAGAGATGACTGGAAGATCCTACGGGCAGCGAGCGAGTACCTTGGGGCGCCGCTACCATATGATGATATAGAAGCTTTGAGGGATCGTATGGAAGAGATCAGTCCTGCGTTGAGACGTTACGATGTCGTAGAGGGGACTGGTATGCCCCAGCTTCAGAAAGTGCAGCTTGTAGATCAGAACAAGGGAGCCAAGGTAGAGAACAAACCATTTGCAAGTGTGATCAAGGATTTCTTCTTTACGGACGCGATCTCCAGAAGGTATGTTGGCGCCTGCCGATGGTCCTTGGCACGCTGCTCATTTGAATTGCTACAGTTCCCCAACAATGGCACGCTGCTCGGCAGCCAAAGCGACGGGTAATCCAAAGACCAACTTCATGGTATGTGCATGTCCGAAGGACTTTCTCTAGTTCGATGCCCCGCTTCGGGTCGGGTGGCTCTTTTCAACGTCTAGACTTGTCTTCAGGATTTGCCCTGAAGAAGTAATGCTGATCCTGAAATGTGCACAGGCCCCGGGTGAACCAAACTCACAGGTTGCGTACGGCACGCCACAGGTGGCGCATACGGCCTCGATGTAGATAGATATGTTCGAAATGCAAGATGAGACATGCAGAATAGCGACGGGGAACTGCAAAGGTCGAATAACAAAGCGTTAGTTCTCCAAAGGATTCGGCGAAGGGGAGTCGGCGGTAACATGAGGCTGTACATACCCTTCAATTCATGAACCACTTCATTACTTCATCATTCCAGAAACTTTGGATGAAGAACAATGTGGTTTTCATTGAGCTAGGGGGCTATGCAGATAGATGCTGCTGCATCTGCATCGGCGTTGAACTCAAAACAACACGCCTTGAAACACCATTGCTACTTCTCGCGGACAAATCTTTATGCAAATGCTCAGTAGTCACGCCATGCTACAACAACCCTTCTTTTCTTCCATGCTCACAGTGTTTCTACTTTTCCGCGAATAGCCCACCTCCAACCTCCTCTCCCCATCCCTTCATCTCTCACAACTCCCTCCCCAACCCATCCATCTACTTTGCTCTTCCATCTCTCTTCCTCCGCTTTCTGCCTTCTCACGAAATCAGGTCCGACATCAAATTCCTCACCTACAAGCCACTCATCCTCTACCAATGAACTCCCTTTGGCGGCAGCTGTGCCACCGAGGCTATCATCGTTGCCTTGTCCAGTCGTGCTCTTCGCCTTGATACCGTCATCGAGATCGTCCAAGCCAGCGAAAGGGTCATCGTCGTCATCAAGGGTGTCAGGAGACATGGGATTAGAGCT